GGGATCCTCATCTGCTTCCAGAATGCCAGGATCCAGGTCACGGAAACCAGGCTTGTCCCGCAGGAGAAGACCAGAAGATTCTTTTGTGCAGGAATTGTGGTCAGCTCCAGAGACAATATGCTGACATCCAGACCCCACAGGACAAGACAGCTTTCCACCTGGTTTATTTATTCAGTGGCCACTCCTACCAGTAGACAAAGTTCACTGACATACAACAACCTTACAATCATATTTTTCTACTGCTTCACCAACCTGGGACAAAGGAAGGCTCCAAAAATATGAGCCAAAGAAAGATAGGAAATAGGGGCAATGTGGTGTGAAGAAAACATGTTAAAAATAAAAAAAAATATTTTGAGCCTTGGAGAAAAGAAATACCATTTTAAAAAGCTCTAGTCAGTAAATAAAAGCAAAACCAAATAGCAAAAGAGGTCTTAGAAACTAAAAACAAAATAGAAAAAAATCAAAAAGGTTGAAAGTTAAAAAAAAAAAAAATCTCCCAAAATAACAAAAAGACAAATATGGGTAAGAAATAGTAAGTTTTTAAAAATCAGAGTGGAACCAAAAAATATGTAAGAATTAATCAAAGAAATAAGAAAATTTCCAAGAAATAAAGGACACGTTTACAAATTAGAAAGACCCACCAAATACTTCGTGAGTTAATAAAAGCGGTTCAGATATCTTAAAAACTCAGTAAAACAAGTGTGTTAAGGAAGACCTTAAATTAGCAATTTAAAGACAAAGGGAAATAGAACATGAGTTGACACAATTTGGAAAGAAGTAAATGGAAGAAGCCCTGGCTGGTGTGGCTCAGTGGACTGAGCACCCACAGGCCTGTGACCAGAAAGGGCGCCAGTTGGGGCACATGCCTGGCTTGCAGGCCAGGTTCCCAGTGGGGGGCGTGCCAGAGGCGGCCAACTGATGTTTCTCTTGCACGGCACTCTTTCTCCCTCCCTTCTCCCCTCCCTGAAAATAAATAAATAAAATCTTTTTTAAAAACGGGAAAAAAGAAAAATGAAAGTTATAATGAAAAATGAAAGAGCACAAGAAAAAATAGAAAAAAAAACACATTAGAGAAAGTGATAGCTGAGGAAGAAGGCAAAGGAAATCCAAAATATGCATGATTGGAACCCTCAAATAGGAAAATTGCAAGAACAGACTGGAACAAAAAATAAAGATATAATTCAAAACAACTTTTCTCAAATAACAGGAGCTTCGAAACTAAATATTAAAAATGCCAGAAAAACCTGACCCAGAATGGTCAGCGTCAAAACATATTTCAGTAAAGTGACTGAATATCAAAGATAAATAAAGAATCTGTGAGACAGACAAAAGGTCAGGATACTAATAAGGGAAAAAAAGACTGGCCTGATCTGATTTCTTCGCAGCCACATTCAGTATCAGAAAATGGGAGAGCAGCAGCTACAACCTTCAAGCCTTCAGGCTACAGTTACTCTTGGATAGGAATTGATTCCCATGAGCCAGCTCTTCTGTTGGAAACTGCTATAGAGTTACTCCTCTAACTTCAGTGAACATGTGAACCACATAGGAAATGTGTGAAAGTGCAGAATCTGATTCAGCAGGTCTAGGATGGGGCGGAGAGTCTGCATTTCTAATAAGCTTGGATGAACATTCACAAAAATTCAACCATAAAAAACGCTTCAGCCTTGGCTGGTGTGGCTCAGTGGATTGAGTGCCTGCCTGGGAACAGTTTGATTCTCAGTCAGGACACATGCCTGGGTGCGGGCCAGGTCCCCAGGAGGGGCGCATATGAGAGACAACCACACGTGAATGTTTCTCTCCGTCTCTCTCTTCCTCCCTTCCCCTCTCTCTAAAAATAAATGAATAAAATCTTTAAAAAGTAGGTTGCAGAATGATATTTAGAATATAATCTCATTTATGTTTAAAAAAGCAAAAGTAAAGAATCTATATAATGGAAATGCTTAGAAGGAAGAATACCAACCTATCATTAGTGGTTATTGGGTTTTATAGTTTGGAGTGGGGTCACAGAGGGCTTTGGCTTTTCACTTTAACATTTCTGTTTAATTGTGAGGTTTTGGGCCATTAATATTTTTTAACAGTTAAAAAATAAACAATAATATATGCCTCAAAGGGCTAGTAAAATAGGAAGATATCCTATCTCATTAGTATTTAAAGAAATGTGAATGTACCAGTGTTCAGACAGTGAACAAAGTTTTCATCCATACAGGTAAATAAATGCCTAGCATAAATGTGCTAGATGGGGTTTTCTGGCCAACAGATTACCATCATCAGTAAAAGGCACAGCTGCAGGTGTTAAAAAGCCCCAAAGTGTTAATGCTCCTCACTATTCATTTCAAAAGACAGCCTTCATTTCCTAGATAATGGAGGAGGAAGTCCCAAAAACGGTTAGAGTCTAGGGCATGGAAATTTTGATGACTCTGTGATTAAGGACCCAGGACTTCGGCCCTGGATACAACCTAACAAATCTATAAAGTCAGAAGCACTTTGTTACAAGAGGCTGAGCCACTTGGATGCTGAGACCCAAGCAAGCCAGGCAGCGGCCCCCACACAGACCCAGCCCTGTGGCAGGCTGCACCTCAGCTGCAGACTGCTGGCAGCAGACTACATGCTGACTGTGGCTATCCTCATCTCCCACTCCAGGACGCAGTGCAGAATCCAACACTGCAGGAATTGCAACATCTCAGCTTGACTCTAATTAGTCTAATTTATAATAGCTTGACCAAATAATAGCAATATTGGGCAAGACAACCAAAAATGAAGTTTTCATCTCCAAGACTAGAAATTTTAAAAAGAAGCCACACTTATACATAAAAAATTTGATTACTCAAAAATTCCAATATAATTGATTATATTGTACACTTGCTGCATTAATACCCAAGCTGGGTTCTATATGTGCATGTGTCAGCTTTATTGTGGTCTGTAACTAGAATACCCAGTATCCACTGTCCACAGTAAAATGCAGTGGTTCTAGAATACAGTGTCTCATTGTATAAGTTGATCAAATTAGTAATTTTCAGCATGAAAGTAAAACTTATTTTTAAAGTCTATCAAATAAAAATCAAGTGAAATTGAGAAGTCTTAGGGCTGCAATGCTATCTGAAGGTGCCGCCATATCATTTTTCACATGTGTTTGGCACAGTGACAGATACAAAGAAAAAGGAAATCCAGGCATCTGGACTCCCTTTTTTGGGCAGCTCTCTCCGGGCCTCCAGGAATATGGTCACACAGACTGACCTATCAAGGTGGCATAAGGCAAAAGAAGATTCTCCCACCTCGGTGAGTGATTTCCAATGCTTTCATCTGTGCTTCATTAAAGGCTCTGTCATAGTCAACTTAAACCACCTACTGGTGTTGATACAGGGTGCAGCCAAGGCCCCCTCCCCCAAAAAAGAGATTTGGAATGGTGTCCAGAACTCAAAGTGTATAGGAATATTGGAGAGACATATAAGATGTCCTCACCCCTTCCCCCACAGGTGTGAGTTGGGGGAAGGGACACATAGAGCAGGAACACGCAGGGCTGTTTTGTACAGCCACAGCCTTGCAGCTAAACCATGACCTGGTCATTTAACATATCTATAGCCTTTGGCGGGTCACTTGAATATGTTAAATGGTTGTGGCCAGGTTTGGAGCTAGGGGGATGAAGTCGCTTCCCCCAAGATGTAACTGGGGGCAGGTCCCCCAAGTTACAGCACCTGCGTGGGAGCTTGGAGAAGATTGGCTCTAGGACATGGGGCCATAATTGCCCAGACTAACGATGGCAGCCCAGTAAACTTGTAATAATACAGAAATACTGGCAGGTGTAACTGATCGTGGGAGGAGTCGGAAATAAGAGTACAGAGGAAGATTGGCACAGGGATTTAAAAGCCAGACATGGCAGCCATAGAAGGGAGAGCCACGTGGTTTGGGGCAGAGTGAGGACCCCCTCTTTCCCAGGTGAAAGGGAAAACCACACAGCTTTGCCAGAATGGAGATCCCTGAAGCCAGGTGAAGAAGAAAGATACATGCTTTTGGTGGAGTGCACACCCCTGCAGCTTTGGTAGAAGAGGCCCACATGGCTTTGGGGTGCCCCCTTTGGCTGCGTGGCCTGGAAAGCAGAAAGACTTTGACTGGAAGTTGGTACAAAGAACTCTTGCCAGTGGACCATGAGGGGGTGCCACATGACTTTGGATTAACTAGAGAGAGATCCTATCTGCACGGCGACACAGCTGATGGTGCCAGCAGCCTGAAACACAGATATGCTCTTTTCCTAATTTACGGTACCCGGAGTTGGGACAGTGGGAGAAGGGAGCGCTGTGTGTGTGTAGGTGTATACCCTAAAGGACTTTGATATTTTAGTGGAGGCATATGGCCTGAATAGCATTAAATAAACATTTCCTTTCCACAAATCTCTGGCATTGAGAGATGTCTTTCCAATTGGCAGCGGACAGAAGAGCCCAACAGATACTAGTATTCCGTCCTTGGGAGGGGTCCCTGTTGTTCTGTAGCAGTTTTTGGCGTCCCTAGGTGGGCCAAATATTGCCCCCCCCTCGGACCTCTTGTTCGGTAACAGTGTCTCTCATTCTCTTAATCACTGCATACATAGTGTGTACCAGATGCAATGCTAGTAACTTTACATATTTTATTTCGTTTAATCCTCACAACAACCCTAAGATCAGTGCTGATATGTTTACTTCCATTTTAAAGATGAGGCAACTGATGCCCAGTTTAATTCCCACAGGGTCTGAGTCACATTAGCACCCAGACCCAAACTCTGAATCACTTCCTGCTGGCATGCCGGTTGAGGCTTTAAAAAATATATAGTATATGGGACTCAGCTTAACTGCTGTTAAGACATTTAGAAATTAGTAATTTCTATTTCATCATCTCTATTTCCATTATAACAAGAATACCCACATCCATTCAAGCAGGTAGAGACAAACCCCCAGATGAAGGACATGCATCCCGTACAGAACCTGGGACGGCAGCGATGGGGCAGTGGAAGTGGTGATGGAAGTGGGTACCTTTTCTGCGATGCCGTTTTCTGTTGTGTAGATTGCCATGAGCTCCGTGTCTTCATTGTCCTGTTCACCACTGGACGTGGCACCTCCATTCATCACCACCTGAAGAGAAACACTCCATTCAGAAGCTGTTTCATGATATATCTCTTTGCTGTACAGAAGCATCTCCCCACCCCAAAGTCTTCTGTAATTCTCCTAAGAATCAAACACTGTGCATTTTTTACCTATCAAATTAGGCAAGTTTGGGTGATCTTAAATGAAACTCCCAACAAGTGTGTGCTGCATCAGTGACCATGCGTGTGTTTTTGATAGAGAAACATATCCCATAGAGTGAGGCTGCATGAACGGGAGGATCAGCTCAGTGAGACCAGGAATGGAACATCCAAAAGAACTACAAGGAGTGGGACCCCCAGAGCCCTCCAAGGTAAGGGAGGCTTGGTTGAGCGGTTAAAGCTCCCAATGCCTGAGGGGCCAAAGCTGCCAATTGGCTTAGGGGCCAATATCTGAGCTGGTGAAAGGCACTGTAAACTAACTGCCTTGGTTAAGATCCCTTTCCAAGTAAAGATAATTAATGGCTTCTGATGTGCCGTCCCTGCAGGAGGAAATGTGCTACGCACAGCCCTCCTCACTGTGTTCTCCTACTGTGGCAAAGACCCCCTCTTTCAGGCCTGCCCTGGTGAGCCACGACGCAGTGGCCTTAGTCCTGGCTGCCTGTCTTGAAAAATAATACCAAAAATAATTGTACATATGAATGAATAACAGCACAACTACATTTTTTAAACAAAGAAAAAAAGACAAAGTATAAAAACGTTTAAGTTCTGGTGTTGTAAACTATAATAAAGAGAAGTGAAAGATGAGTGATAGCATAAGAGAAAATACAGTACTACACATAAGGAATCAGCATCAAAATTTCCTAAAGAATACCTGCAAAATGTATCCTTAAAAAACCTGTTTTGCTACAGTTTGCAGGTGAAAAAAATATTAGAAAATTTTAAAAAGTTATATGGGGGGAAAAAAGAACACCTGCAAATCCATAATACAAGCAATGCAAAGGAAATGGGCACAGGGTAGAAGTATACAAGTTTACAGAAAAAAATTAAGTTATCCAACAGAACACAAAATGCTGTTGAACCTTATTTAAAATTATGGAAATGACAATTAAAATCAATTTTCACTTTTTAAAAATAAATTAGGGCCTGGCGGGGCTAAGGCGTGTAGGGCAAGTTAGTGCCGGGGGAAAGCGATGTTTTCTCCTCTCCTTCTTCAATATATATTTTATTAAAAAATTTTTAAAGGGGTACCTGGTATTGACCAGGACGTGAGAGAAGAGCTATTCTGTTATTAGAAAGATTACGTTCTTGGTGGAATGGCCTTTGTGCAGAGTAACTTAGCACTGGGATTCATTTAAAAGAGGCATTTCTAGGACCAGCAACTATACTCATAGAATCCTTTTTTCCAAAAATATCTATGCAAGTGGAATGCATTTCCAAGGTTGACAGCTGCAACATTACTTAAAATGCTCAAACAGACATTGTTAAATTATGCTATATCCATTTTGAGAATAATATTCAACCATTAAAAAAAGAATAAAACTGATATACTAACAAGGAAAGAACTCCAAGGAATACTGTAAAAAAAAAAAAAGTCACAAAACAATAAGTATAGAATTATCCCAATTGTGCTAAAAATAAATTAAAATGTTAATAACCTCTCTGTCTAGATGCTTGGTAAAGGAACTAATAAAAGTCACACACCAGCATGAAGGCTGTCCAAGGGGTAGGGAATAAGGATGGGCCCCTTTCATTTTTCACTCCCGACCATTCTTTTTGGCATTAGGATCTTTTAAAATCAGTTCTATGTTATTTGTATATTGTTTTTTTAAAACTGGTAATAAACAAGACATACACCAAAATATTAACAGTGGTTGGGCCATTTTTACCTTCTTTTTCCCTTTATATATGTCGGTAATTTTCTCTAATGAGGACAATTAACTTTTACAACAGGAAGAAATTAAAAAGACTAAAGATCCAAGCAATACAGCTTAGATTGAGGAGGTCCAGAGAGATTTAATCCACTTATTTTTGTAGTTGAAGAAATCGGGCCAGAGAAAATTTTAATTCCTCATTCAAGGTCACATAGATTACAACCCCCAACTGAAGCTAGTTTTAAAGTACGCCAAAGATCTCGATTAAGTGGTATATAAATTCTTACAGGGCAAATTTTCTTATATCAAACAAAGAGCTTCTTTTAAAACTAACTCTAAGACAAGCTATAGCTTTGTACGTAAGGCAACTGGGTTTGTGGAGTTTGTTGGTCTGAAAAACAAGCCGCCAACAGGACACATGTTTCTGGCCAAGTTCAAGTCTATAATATGAAAATCTAACTTAATATTAGAATCATTCTCCAAGTCATATCACAGCAGCACTCAACCCACTGAGAAGCCAAGAGGTACATACACTCAGGATGAACTGTCTTAAAGCAACGATGTTTAGTTACTAGATGTCAGAGAAACCAAGATCTGATTTAACACCCTGTTCTAGCTAAAACTAATACCTTTCACCCACATTCATCTCCAGTTGCCGCAAGAGCCTCATGAGAATAGGGTTACCTTTGGGATGATGAAGATATTTTGGAACTAGGCAGAGGTGATGGGTGCACAACACTGTGAATGTGTTCAAAGTCGCTGAATTGTTCACTTTTAAATTGTCAATTTTGTGTAAGTTTCACCTCAAAAACCCATTTTTTAATCTGTGTATGTGGCTCCAAAGAAGAGACTCTGGCAACTCCCTCTCCTCCCCCCCACTTCCGCTCACACACGCAATTAAATACTATAAAATGCAGATACTCCCCAGCCTGGGAAAGGCTCACATACTCACTCAACAAACCCACTGTGAGCGCCCGCTGTGCCCAGGCAGTAAGGATGCAGTTCGGCCACACAGCCCCTCCCTGTGCCGCCCGGGGCGGGGCCGGGTTAATGATGCCTGCTGACTGAACTGAGGACGCAACAGGGCGCCAGGGAGTAAGACAAATTTTGCTACTATTTTTCCTTTGGCTTATTAAATTAGCTATTTTGATGGCCTGTTTTTAAAAAAAACATAGGATTTAATTTTTAAAATCTCTTAAAATCAGTTTTTTTAAAAAGGTGTTGACTTTTTTTAAAAAGTATAAAAATGTTCCTGATACTATTGAAGCTTCACATTTTTGAACCTCTAAATATTACTTCAACTGGGAAATAAAACATGTCTTAGAAAGCTTTCTAAACGTAATAAAAACGAGTTTTCCTTTGTGTCATTAACAGCATCACAGATAACAGAAATCTTGACATCTTTCATCTCAGGAACCTGATCAAGTTTTTATTAAAAAATGTTATTTTTTAAAATTTTGGAACAAACAACATGCCTTTCCCCCCTTCAAAACTGCTTGAAACCAAACTTGTGGCTTTATACTTCCTCCTTAAACTAATATTGTACAATCACACCATCAGTTATGAAAGCAGGTTTTCTCTGCCTGAATTTGTCCAGTTGATTTTGTTTGTCTCCAAAACATAGGGCTGTTGCCTTTGATACAGGAATGTGTCTATTGCTCAATAAATGTAGGGACTTTGCATTATACTTATTGCTTTATTTCTAAGCCAAGACAGTAATGCTTCAAGTATGTGCTTCTGAACAGTAATCCTAAAATGATTAAATGTACAGGAAACAGGACAGGAGCAATAGGGAAGGAGTGTCATGCTGAACGTCAGTATCACAGCAATGCCAATTTAAGTGATAGTGGAGTAAGCATGTGTTACTCAAACCGAAGTTAAAATGAACCCATGGCTGTGGATACCTGTAAGGTGAAGGGCCCAAGTACCTGGGAAACCCCATGCGTCTGATCCGAGAGTTCAGAACTCAATTATCATCTATTTAGGATCTGGTGTAATTCACCAACAACTACCATATGTCTGGTAGCTAAGTGAACCATTTTATACCAAAACAATGATTTTCAGAGTAGTAATAACATTCCTCAAATTGACTGTTTTCTATTCTTTAAAGAAAAGGCTTGCCCTGGCTGGTGTGGTTCAGTGGATTAAGCACCCACCTGAGAACCAAATTAGGGCACAGGTCTGGGTTGTGGGCCAGGTCCCCAGTGTGGGGCCTGCAAGAGGCAACCACACATTGATGTTTCTCTCCCTCTCTTTCTCTATCCCTTCCCCTCTGTCTAAAAATAAATAAATAAAAATCTAAACGGAAAAAAAAACCTACAACAGAAAACTTTTTCCATCTACTAAATTGGCCAAGACCCCAGTCCAACTATGTTCCACTGGCAAGCCTATAGGATAGGAAAACAGGCACCCACATGTTGCTGATGAGAATAAAATGATCTCAACAGAGGGCACGTGGTGATGCCCCTCAACTTAACAAGGCCCCCCCTCTGCCCCAACGGTCCCAGTCCTGGAAACTTATGCTTTTTACATGAGTGAAAAGAACTATGTGAAAGGTCATTTACTGCTATTTGCTGTTGCAAAATATTAGAAGCAATCTAGATATCTATCAAATGGGAATATTTAAATCAACTATGATACATTCATACCATAGATACTCTGCAGTATACAGAGGTCTGTCCAGAAGTATTCAGTCATGTAATATGAAAAACAGAGACATTTACTAAAGAAAAGAGACAAGAAACATTGTACACAGGACAATGATGTCTCAGTCCCCTTCAAAGTATGTGCCTTGGGACCTCACATAATTCTCCCAATCACCATCAGCTACCCTGTTGTATTTTCCTGAATTTCATCAATGGTCTGATATCCTTTCCCTTTCAAAGATGATTTTAGTTGTGGGGAAAGCCAGAAGTCACAGGGTGCCAAATCTGGGCTATGGGGGAACTGAGTCACCTGGGTGATTTGCTGTTTTGCCAAAAAACTCTGTACAAGACGTGATGATGCATGAGCAGGCACATTGTCATGACGAAGTTGCCAATCACCAGTTGCCCAGAGCTGTGGCCATTTTCGTAGTAGTGCATCTCTCAATGAGTGAAGAATGTTGAGGTAGTACTCCTTATTACTTCTTTGGCCTGGAGGGGCATACTCATGATGGATCACACCTTCCCAATCCAAA